CCATTTACTATTCATGTAATTGCACACTAAATTGTCATTGTTTGACAAATCATATTATGAATCTGTACCTTAACTAATTTCCAGGGAAACATGTCCTGTTTTTCTTAAACAGTTCAAAGAACTATATGACTGTCATGTATCTATCTGATAAGAGTACTTTAACATTTGTTTGCTAAATGTTATCAGCATTACAAGAAAGGGTGTCATAGCTGGTGAAGTGTAGACTTAAGTAAATCAGCAAGACTGATTTTTCTAAATTACTATTATAGGCTGATTTCTGAATGAAAAGATGCAGCACCAGTAACATTCAGTTCAAAATACATAGATATAATCAAAATGTATTTGACCTAGCTGAGATCAGTCCTCTGTTAAAAACCAGTTGTTAGTTGTTACGTTTAGAGAATAATTATGTACAATAAGTAGCTAAGAAAGCAAGGCCAACACTTATGTCTTTAACATCCGAAATCATCTTAACTCTCAATGCTGGTATCAAGTCAACATCTCCAGACTTTTTGTGTGCCTCTGCAAATCCTCATTGGTGATTATTTGTTATATTTGATAAAAACGTGTAAAAATAAACGGCAGTCGTGTTCATTCCACGAGTGTGCAGAGTTGCTGAGCTCTTGTGTGGTCGTGTGCTTTGCAGAGCTGCCAGGCAGCCCCAGTGAGTACGCTGCCTCCGCTGCTCACAGCGTGCTTGGTCAGGTGCTGGAGGGAGTTCAGCCGCTGCCCGACGAAGCCAGAGCTCTCGCTCTGACGGAGGCCACGACGGCCTTCATGGAAGCCTGGATGGAGCACATCCTGAAACAAAAAATCAAATTCAGGTCTGCGTTTTCTTTTGTTAGAAGATGTGTTGCGTGTGTGTGCGCTATCCAGATGTTGTCAAATGAGCAAACTGCATTTCTTTTCTTGTCTGCCCCATCGTTAAATATTTAAAATGGTCGTATGCACACTAGCACTCTGCTCACTCCACTTTTGTTGGATTTCCTCTTCCTGTGTTTACTGTGAATAAGTCTTGAGCGAATGCTGAATGCTGAAATGGGCTGCTCGGTTTTGATGGATTTATGACACAAACAGTGTCCTTTTATTGTCCCGCCACACACAAAACTATTCAGCTGTGACTTTCACATGATGCCATTCAGAGCAAAAGCCCTTATTTCACCTGGCCTGCCTACGCGGGGTTTTTTTGTTTTTCCAAAAAAAGATGACCTGTGCTGAACTGCTCCAAAGGAGAAATTAAAAAGAGTAAAGAAAATGAAATGAGCCCCTTTTCACAATTCCTACATCTCTGGGGTTTTTTTCTTCTATTCTGTAGCGTTCAGGGTGCCCTACAGCTGAAGCAGGACTTTGACACGATCAGGGAGCTGCTCAAGTCGGAGGAGTATAGCTTGTCTGAGGAGATCCGGCAGCGGCTGCTGTCCCTGGGGGTGTTCCATCAGGTTGACAATGCCATCATCTGTCTCCTGCAGCAGCCGGCCAGCAAGGCCTATGTGCCATCGCGCACCTGGGAGCCCTTCAGGAGATGCTGTGAGTGCGTGCTGTGGAAATCATTATGATCAGACAAGTGGCTTTCTGTAAGGAAATACAGTAAATGCACTGGGTTGATGCATGAAGGGGACTTATTGGAGTCTGATTTTTTTTTTTTCCCCAACTGATAAAATGCCTCTACACATAGCTATATAGAGGATAGCTATATAGAGTTCCATGAAAATGTATTCACCTCCTTTCAGATTTTCTGAATTTGTAGCTTATTTTTGACACTGAATGTTATCAGAGTTTCATGTAGGTACTAGTGATATATAAAGGAACTGTGAGTAAGCAAATAACACCAAAGTTACAGCTGTTTGTTGTTTTCTATAAATTTTTAATCAGTGGATTATCTCACACTGAGAGTAATTCAGCAGAAATGTTGGATCTCATGTTGCATGTGGTTGAGGTTGTCTGACAGAAGCCTGAAAGAGAATCCTCTGGTTATAGACCTGACTAATGGAATTATCGTGCAAAAAATTGCACTGCAAGTGGTCCAAGGCCAAAATACCTCTTGTGCCTTTCAGCTGGTAGAAATTTGACCCAACTTAAGGGAAGAGTGAGCAAATAATTTGGACTTCTCCATCTCCCAATATTTAAAAACTGTTGATTTTTAGGACTTTTGTCTGCAAACTGTCATCAAATGTATTGTCTAGAGCAGTTCTTCTTTACAGATGCTTCCTTTTATTTGTGGTTTAAGAATATAAAGAGGTAACAGGAGGAGGCCATTTGGCTCATGTAGTCCATCTGTAATTAGTAGCTAATTGATCCGGCAATCTCATCCAGGCATTTTTCCAAAGAAGTCATTGTACATGGCTGTGTAGCTCTTTCTATATTGCTACATCCTTTTACAGAAACAAGTGCCTCACATAATCAAATTTAAATGCAATTCCACATAGTTTACACTTCTGTCCTCTGGTCCATGCTGGTCTGTTTATTTAAGAAATCCACAGGGTTGACTGTCAGTTCCTTTGACGATTTTGAATATCTGGGTCAGGTCCCTTCGTAGACGTCTGTTAAAGACTTAAAGGGTCGTGTTCCTTCAGCCTGTTAGTATGAGGCGTTCTATCCTGTCCTGGAAGGTTTTGAATAAATCCAGTTTGTCTGTGCAAGGCTCTGAACTGAGATCCCTACTCCTCCCCCTTTAGTTTCTCAGTCACTCCTAGTATTCACTAACATTTTCAGAGTCTTTAAAGGGCAGGTGGAAGATTGGTTGCTTTGGCTTCTAAGTCCCAGAAGTTAACTAGTAGAAAATAAGTCTGCCAGATCTTATGTGCATGGACCCTATGTGGGTACTTCTCTTTACTTCCACAGTGTGCTATGTCTTTGCAGGCTCCAATCCCAGCCGGACACGGGATTTCAATACAGGGAGCTTGAACAGTTTAGAAAGCATGGACGTCCAAGTGGCCAGAAACAATGCCATCGTACAGGCAGAAAGCTCTCTGGCCCCTGAACTGCTTGGAAAAATCAAAAGCAACGCGATCCAGGAATCATATCTGGCAGGAAAGCAGCAGGATTGGCTGGCACTTCGCATACATAACGGCAGCAGATGGAAAATACCTGGCTTACTTTGCATGAACAAATCTAATCATTGACTGTGAATAATGCTTAATAAATGAAAACGGGAGGTCAGTTTCTGAACGCAAGAGAAATCCATTTACAAACCAATCTGCAAACAGGGGACCCGTGGGGTTTTGCTTGCAATCAAATGTTCAATGCCATAAACTTTTTTTTTTAATTACTAGATAGAAGAAAAAAGGAAATATATTTGGAATTCATTGCTCTTTGTTTTACATCAAGTTGAAGCTGAGGCATTACATCTTTCAGTTCACTTCACTGGTAAACTTGTGGAAAAATTGTTACAGAAAGCTATGCTTAAAGACAGATGGAAAATTCAGCATTAAGAGGGTACCCATTTAGTTTTCAAAGTCACCACAAGAGGAAAAAAATAAACAAAGCCTTGTAGCTTTATTTTCATGGTACAGAGCCAACAAATCTTGCGAACTAGAAGTGAATTTGAACATGACAAATGGGTTCAGATAAAGACAAAGCATTTGGAAGACTAAGGTGGGGATCAGTGGCACTATTTTGTATATTTGTTTTCCTAAAAAATTAAGGAACCGTTTTAGAAGGTATTGCAATTTACAGTGGTCCGTTTTGATTTGTTATAGTGTTCCCACAAGCTTCCTCAGGAGTTTTATGCATACCTTTAAAAATACTTAAAATAATATAAGGTTTGTTGATAACTTGAACCTTTACTTGTCAATTGCTGTTTGTGTTTTTAATGTCTTTTTAGGTGAAACTAAGTGAGTCTTTTGTTTTATTTTTTGCAATGGACATAAAATTTATTTAATACCACGGTGCTTCTTTTCAAACCTGTTGTAAAAGTAAATTACAAAATTCATATTTTTCAAGTATCCTCAGACATTTTTTTTTCATTTTTATAAACAATATTTTCCTTTTTAGTTGACATTTTTATATCAATACAACATTTTATCAGCATGCTTAATATGCCCTGAAAATCTAAAATTTATTTATTATGCATTCCAGCTGTAAATGCATTGGGTAAAAATATACTTAAGAACTTTTGCTGTACAATAAGAGATGTGTGTATATATGCATGTGACATTTCTGAGGGTTTTTAAAGTTTTATTCTTTGTACCCTTTTCTGTTTTTGCAAGTCAGGAATATTGAAACTCTGTATAATATTAGATTTTATATCCCTGTAACAATATTGTTTACAAATTTACAAGTCCATATGGCTATGCAATGCCTATCCATCTTATTTTCTATGAGTATCAAATTATGGACATGATCAACAACATATTAATAAAACATGAAAATGAAGTTCATTTTTAGTGCTAACGGTTTTCTGATCGATATCTTGTTTGTCACATAAACGTGGATTTGCTCAGACATGTTCAGGCTTGTGTTATGTTTACTATGCACATTATAACAAAGTTCTTGTATATCTTGAATGTTGTTTGTTGTTTGCATTCCATAGAGGGGAGGAAATCCACTGGCAGTTCTCTCCACAGGGATGTTGGACATCTGCTATTTGCTGCTATTTCTTAACTAGGCGGTGAAGAAGGCAGTTAGTGTCCACTGACCTGTTGAGGTGACAACCTTGGAATACTGGGGTAACTTGTAATGTAGATATTGCTGTCTAGTACACAAGATAGATCCCTGTCAAAGTCTGTAGGTAGAAAGCTGACCCAGAGGTCACGAGTACAACAGTGCAAGAGTTATTAGTACTGAACTCTTGTTTTCCTCTACCATTCAGCACTTTTTGGCCTTTTTCTGCCAAAGAGGAGTCGGTTATTGCTCCCATCTGAATCATTATTTTAAGCTGAAATCTTTTCTTTTTGCATTTCTGTTGCTCAAAACACGTATCCAAACCAAAGAATTATCAAGAGTTATTGGTTTGTCCATAATTTAAAATCTTCCTTCTGATTCTGAGATCAGGTACAGTAAGAAATTAGTAACTCGTATACAGTAGGTCTGCACATCCTAGGTATTGTACTGTATGTGTCTCCTAAGACAGGATTCATTGAAGTAGCTATGGTAGGTATCGGCTTGTTAACTCTAAAATTGAGTCCACCACCTACACTGTCAATAAAGGAGCATATCTTATTGCATTTATAGTAAAATATAGCTTGCTTAATAAACTTCTTAATATTTTGGTTACTTTTGTGCTTAGCTACACACTAGACTAGCTATAAGCTAGACTTCAGTGATGTCTACAGGGACCCTGAACATTCCTTGAAACATTAACACGTCTTTCCTACCACAATCAAAAGGAGCAGCCAGCACACAGAAAACGCACCCTTTCGTAAGCGTCATCACTTTGAAAGCATATATGCATGTGCATCTTTGCGCTAATGTAGTAACTTTCCCTTTTTCTTCTACTGCATGACAAAATAGTCTGTCGTTATCACTCGTTATCAATGTCACAAATGCGAAATGACAGACATGCAGACTCATTTCTTCTGAATATCAAGCTGGCCCAGGCACAGTTCTCGATGTCGATTATAACACAGCAGAAATAGACCTCGCACGTGGTTTTGTTCAAGAAAAAAGTATTTTACCCGGAAATTAACTATATTAACTGAATTTACAGCCAGACCTTTTGTGTTTGTGCTGTTACTGTTTTTGCAGCAGCAGGAATACATATTGTATAATACAGCAAAAAGTTAAAATCTTTATTCATAAGACATTTTTACATTTTCATCCTTTTCTCAACATTTTGAACCCAATGCACTTAATATTCTCCACTCTGAAACCAGTATTTAGCCATTGGTGCCTTGAAGGTCTTTTATTTACCTCCAATGGCAAGCGTGGTTCATGATTAGCATATTTTAAAGTCTGAATGGTTGTCATTCTTGCAAAATTGTGTAAATTAAATGTGTAAATGGTTACAAACTAAGCCTTTACCGAAATGGCTTCTGGACGATCAAGGCCTTAGATAGCAAGTCCATTTACAATGGGCATCGGGATTTTAAAGTTGAGTGGCTACAGTAGGTATTTATCTGGCTGGTTTACTGAATATGTGAAAGCATGGTCTTCTGCATTGTGGAGTCTGTTACAAAGCAGCTGAAAAGGAGGGCAATTGTCAGGAGACAGAGCATGGGGTGCGAATTAGTATCCACCCCCTTTAAAAATTGCCATTTGCAAGTTGTCATGTTACTGTAGCTCCCTTTTGCAAGCACTGACTAAGAAATAGCTTACAAAATTTTTTGAAGGGGTATTTCAACACATACTGTAGTTCGCAGGAAGCTGAATGCAACTGTAGTGGAAGCTGTGGTTCGTAAGGTTCAGGAGAGCTTCATTTCTAATGAAACCCCATCACATTTGGACATGTGTGTGTCATGTCATTCTGAGCACTGGGCTCTTGATAACAAATCTGGAACAATACCAGCTCCCACAGATACATTATATTGATCACTGAGAAATAGAATGAACAGGTGATCTGGCTTGAGAAAACCCCACAGAGTGGCATTTATTTACATTTATCAGATTTAAACAATTTACCTTTTAAATCGCAACTTATCTGCCATACAGTTAGTCATTGCCACGATCAGAACTCCTAGTTGAAAACTGTGGACAATAATCCATAGAAACAGCTGAGTATTTTCAGTTATTTCTAAATTAAGATTTTATTCATTGCACTACAGGATCTTGCTGAATGACTATTAGCTGCTTTCATTTTCCTGCTGGTGAAGCTGATGGGATTAGTGTTCACACAGCAAAGCATACTGCATAACATAAACTATCAAAATATTTTTATCACATTATCACAAGTGTTTATCATAAATGTTTCCAGAAAAAAAAGTGGTTCTTGCAGGTAAAATGTCTGTTTATGTATAATTGCTCAAAAATATTTTCATTGGGGAAAAAAAGTTTTAAAAGGTAGTGCTTTACTCGATTGCATAGCAGATATCTGCAGGTCACATTAGCCTACATTAGCTCAACTCATTTCATGTTTCAGACCTGATTCATCTACACAGCAAAATATAGAAATGAGTACAAAATTATTTACTTTGTCTGCTTCAAAAAGGAAGGAAAAGAAAGAATAGAATTAATAAAAATTAGCTTGGAAAACATTACATCAAGTTATTTCTTCCACCTTCTTATTTTTAAAGTGTCCTAAAATATTTGTTTTTTAAATAAGGATACAGCAAAACATGTGGACAACAAAATGTCCACATGAATCCAATGTCAATGGAGATTCACACTCTTGGTAATTCAAACTTCCAATAGATAATGGGGGTTCACTCTCTGTTTAGCATAATAATAATAAACTTTATTTTATATAGCGCCTTTTAAGGTGGCTTCTCAAAGCACTTTACAGGATGACAATAACAATAAATAAGAAGAGTATAACAATAAATAAGGAGAATACACCAGATAAGACACAATTACAATATATAGAGGAGACCGTGGATGGTGGTACTAAGAAGAGCAGAGGGGTGAAGAATGGAACCAGTTAAGTAAAGGCTTTTCTGAAGAAGAGGGTTTTGAGTCTGGATTTGAAGGAATTTAGAGAAGGTGACTTTCTGATATCCTTGGGCAAAGAGTTCCAGAGCTTGGGGGCATAACAGGAGAAGGCCCTGTCACCCATACAATGTAGACGGGCTTGGGGGACAGTAAGAAGGGCAGAATTTGAAGAGTGGAGGTTGTGAGGTGGGGAGTAGGGCGATAATTTCTTCCCATATGTTCATTATCTCTCTTTCCTCTTCACTTTCCACAGAAAAGCTGGCTAGGTTAATGGGTGTCTCTGTGTTGTCCCTGTATGCATGTCCCGCAAAAGACAGGCAGCCCACCCTGTTCCCTGTGCTTCTGGGATAGGCTTCAGGTGTTCGTCACTCTCGTTATTAATACATTTACTGGTACTGGTTACCAGTAACACTTTTCACTTCCTAACTGAAAACTGAAATATCAAAATATTTGTTTTTTAGACAGTAGTTGATTTTGGATCCGTCTGGATAAAAAGCTTTATATAAATGGTTTTATATTGGTTATTACTGCTACTTTTAAAAATGTTCCTCTAAAATGTCACAAAGTATCAGCTTTTTAAACCAGACAACAAATTCCATGTGGAACACAAAGGATATTATTTAACATACTCCCAT